AGTTACCAAGTTGTCTCTATGTTATCTGGGTTTTCTATTTATGGTTCTTGGGATTGGTTTCAAATCCAAAATCACAGAAGAAACCATGGTCGCTGGCAAGGATAACAAGAGTCAGCGAGTGGATAACAAGCTCCAGTATGTTTTTACTCACTCTGCCGACAGCAGATCTGCCGCCACCGGCACTCTTCATAACTCGTGGCTCTCCCTTGGCAATAAATCTACCGGATAACAAGCTTCGGGGAGGGCAGAAGCTCGTCGGGGTGGTTGATAGTGCACGGGGTTTAATCGAGCAAAAATCATCCCATCTTCTTGATGAATATAACCCACGATTCAAGGGTTGTGCTTGTAACTCACAAGCGAGAGAAAGACATTGGTGTCTATAAACCTTTGATTTATTTGATTGATATGGAACTAATGCCAAATGTACATATTTATAGGCTTAGAAAAGCCTAATACTTAACCTAATCCTACCCCAATTAGGCTACCCCTTCCCAAACACAAAAGGAAAACTTGACCCAAAAGAAAAAACACCCTAGCCCAAACCGAAACTACCCAAAGCCCAAAACATGGAAAATACCCTCATCAATCCTTCCCCCTCAAAGAACCTTGGTCTCCAAGGTTCAGTCCGTGCCGAGGCGGTCTACGACGATGACAACAGCAGCTCTTGCGGCGATGTTGAGGCTTTGGTCTCTTCCTGAATTTCCACGAGCGGCCCCTAACAGCAAACATTCTTGTCCATTCTCGGCCCCCAATACCACTAGCAAACGAAAACCATCCATCATCCATTCCACCCTTTTCATACGCCTCCGCCTTTTCCTTCCTTTTAAATTTCCAAGAATAAATTTGTCCCTGCATGCCCTTATCGCCTGCGAAAGTGGTCGGCATGGTCTTCACTTCAATTTTACCATTGAGTGAACCCGACCACTTCTCCTTTCCATCAAACGAGAAACCTCCCAGATTCCGCGCCTTGTGCGCCATTGGCCCAGTCTTCGTAGGCTGCTGCTTCTCGTGCTCCCTCCGCCATTGGAATGGCTTCGCGGCTTCAACGCTACAAACTAGTGCTCCGACTACACTGGATAGAGCTTGAGTTTAAGCTCTCCCTTCCCGAAACTTCTGGATCGAGGAATGATAGTCTTGCCTAGGTGCGGTGCACCCGTGCGCACTGTTTCCCTTCCCACGATCTCGTTGACGGAGATCTTGACATCCTCCGCCGCCCTAGGTTCATAGGCGTCAACGCGGGCCACGTTGTCGTCGCTTCGCTCTCCTCCAAAGATGATTGCGCGGTTGGCGTTCAGCTCCCGGTCGCGGCAGAATGTCGTGAACCTCTCACGTGATTTTGCTAGTTGTGCGCAGGCGACCTTGGTCTGCTCGAGCGCTATCTTCGCATTGCGTGCAAGGGTGCGATACTGGGCTACGTCCAGGACCATGTTACCCTTCCCAGTAGGATGCGTAACCAGACTCTGATACCAATTGATGAACCGTAACCCACGATTCAAGGGTTGTGCTTGTAACTCACAAGCGAGAGAAAGACATTGGTGTCTATAAACCTTTGATTTATTTGATTGATACGGAACTAATGCCAAAGGTACATATTTATAGGCTTAGAAAAGCCTAATACTTAACCTGATCCTACCCCAATTCGGCTACCCCTTCCCAAACACAAAAGGAAAACTTGACCCAAAAGAAAAAACACCCTAACCCAAACCGAAACTACCCAAAGCCCAAAACATGGAAAATACCCTCATCACTTCTTTGCGGGATCGCATGCGTGACGGCGAGCTCGAGTGAGACAGAGCACCCCCTAATGTCACCGACAGATGCCCGTTGTTTCAGAGCTCAGGTCGTCGACGGGGGGGTTCGGACTTTAGAGTCTCTTCGTTCTCGGTCTGGGGGCAGGGTGGTTCAGTCTCCGGTTGCTTTCGTCTGAGAATAGTAAGAAGCGGATGAACCAGTGAAGACGGAGGTGGCAGGAGGAAGAGATGAGGGTCGGAGGTTTTGTGTGAGTGAGTGAGTGAGTTTGTTTTTGGATTGTGTTGATCCTTAATTTTATTTTCTCTCTCAATTTTTTTATTCTCTAAATCAACGTGGATTTTTACATACAAAATTGGACGGAAGTGCTCGTCACGTAAGCATCTCTGTTTGTCTAGTCAGACTTAACGCTAACACCGTTAAAGAATTGGACGAAAGTGACTATAAGTGGTATTTCTCCAAATTTGACTATTATTGTTACAAACGTGATAGTTTTCCCTATACAAGTGAATTTTGCCAAACTAAAATAACCCCATAAGTCCATAACTATTGACTACCATGAGGTTTTATTCACTTACATAACGTGTAAGTATACCAAAGACGAAATAAAAAAAATTGCAATATTACATACGGGATGGAAGGGGGGATAAAAAACAATCAATAACTGCCACACATCTTACAACAGGAAAGCTTTGGGGCAGAGGGGCTTAATTGTAACATTTGGTACAGGGTCTACAATAATGGCAGAGACCTATCAAGGTGTAATTACCTGACCAGGAAGTTGCAGCATGGAGAGAGTGCAGCTTTTTGGGGTTTCTTCTTTCACCGCCAGTTGTAACGTCGCTCAGTTTAATCTGATTGCTCTTCTCTCTTCTTGTTCCAAATTCTGATTTGCAGTAGCAACCTCCATGGAAGAAGAAATGATAGAGGCTATCAAACACAATGCACCAGAACCAACATTACTCTTCTTTGCAATTTTTATGCATACTCTGGATTAAAGGCTAATGCCTCCCTGTAAATCATATCCTTCATCTGTTCTTCTACCAAGGGTTGGTGCTCGAAATCGAAAGAGAAGGATTCTAGACAGACCGGCTCGTCTGCTATATCATGCAATCGTTCAAGGTATGGGTGTGCTAATGCTTCCTCGACTGCCACACAGAGAGATACAGTGTTAGTGTTAGCATCAAGTGGTGACGTTCAAATCACCAGACTTTTTTTTTTTTGAACTTGGGAAAGAGTTTGTTTGTTCGAGTCCTTGGAAAGGTTTATCGGATTAACTCAGACATGAGAAGTGAACCCCCTCAACTCACCGGTAATTCTTCTTGTGGGATCAAATGCCAACATTTTGTCCACAAGATCCATGGCCGAAGGATGAACGTGAGGGAAAAGTTTGGCCAATGGCTGTCGAGGGTGTGGGCTGAGCTGCCGGATATATTTCCTAGCATCTTCATTTCTCACAAACCCTAGCTCAGATTCGGTTGGTGTGCCCAGTAGCTGAAGGGGAGAAGACAAAATGAAACCACATTCGATTATTAGATCAACTGAACATTCAATCCCCAACAACAAGTTCCCCTCTTTAGATTCAAAGGCACCCTCCATGTTCATTACCTCTGTCAGCAATCGCATCTGATGGACATGATCTTTGCCAGGAAACAAGGGCTTTCTGTTCATGAGCTCCATGAAGATGCAGCCCACTGACCAGACGTCAATTGCTGCAGTGTAATCCTGACTGTTGAGCAATAGCTCCGGCGCCCTGTACCACCTCGTAACAACATACTCCGTCATGAACTCGTTCTCGGAAGTAGGGCGCGCCAGCCCGAAATCACAGATCTTTAGGTCGCAATTTGCATTCAAGAGGAGATTGCTGGGTTTCAAATCTCTGTGGATCACATTGGCAGAGTGTATGTACTTCAATCCTCGGAGTAACTGATATAAGAAATACTGCAACAAAAAGAACATCAATCCCCTCGCATCATACACTTCACTTTGCGAGCCATCCCCGTTAGAAAACGAACCAAATCGCAGCTTTACCTGGCAATGCTCCTCGGATAGACCTTGATTAGAGCGTATGATCTGGTGTAAATCGGTGTCCATGAGCTCGGTAGCTATGTAGACATCAGTAAATTCTCTCCTCAACGGCGGAGGAACCACGTCTCGGATGGCGATCACCTGTTATCAAACCGACCCATCACAATCAGACAAGGCGAAAATCCCACCAAACCCTAAAAGTCCAATTAAATAGAAAATGGAAGCGCGATGAGATGAGATGAGATGAGACCACCGACGTTTTCGTGATCCAAATGGCGGAGCAGCTTAATCTCGCGGAGGGTGCGTTTGGCGTCCATGTGGTTGTCGAAGGCATTAGCTATCTTCTTCATCGCCACCATCTCGTTAGTCTCCGAATTCAACACCGAGCTGCAAATCACAGAAATCCCAAATCAAAACCCACAATCAAAAGGAAGGGGAAAAATCCAATCAAAAGATCATTAAAAATAAAAAATTCAATTAGAGAGAAGACGATGAGCTCCAGTACCAGACGATGCCGTAGGCGCCGCGGCCGATGGGCATGATCGGAGGCCGGTACTTTGGGGTGATCTCAAACTGATTCCCAAATATGTTGTACTGAACAAACTGACCACCGTGAGAGGGAACCGCCGGGAAATCTGGGTACTGACCTCCTCCGCCTCCGCCGTTGCTGTGCGGGTAACCTGCCATGTTTCTTCTCCTCCTCCCTTCTCCCCTGCCTCTGAGCTCACTTTGTAATGCGGGGAGTTGCTTAGATTTTTCGAAAGCTGATTACTTTAGGGAATAATTCTGCGGCTCAAGGGAAATACCAGAGATTGGATTTTATAAATACAGAAATGAAACGGGAGAGAAAGAAGGCTCAGTTATTTGACTTTTGCTGTTGAAGTGGAACGAAAATGACAAATGAAGATGTATGGAATTGCAGAGTTCCTGAGTAGATGCGAGGAAGGGGAAGCGGGAAAACGCGACACGAGAGAGAGACGAGACCCCCTTTTTTTTTTTTTTTTTAATTTTATATTAAGCATTATTATCTTCCTAGGTTTGGACGTATTTGGCGGTTAATGGGGGGATCGACGGCTGGCGTAAGAGCCGCCTCCGTTCGATCCACGGCTGTGGTTTTCATCAGTCCTTGTCAACGGTCCATCTAGTTGTCCAACCACTTCTTTGATCTAACAAGTGGCCGGATTCAAGTATTAGATGGTCCACTCCCTTTGTGCCATATTTGTTGACATTCTTACTTTGTATTCTCCCCTATGATTAACGTGGAGACTGGGGAGTAAAGCTTCTATGACGATGCTTCGTAACAGATTATTAGATTCGTAATCACTTGAATTCGTACAGGTTATTGTCATAAGTGAGCACATATCACCAACTATCTAATTCTAAGTCAAGTTTAACCTAAAACGGTATTGTAGTATAGTCGTAATGAAAGTCATCATCTACTCGGGTCCTGGTACCCTAGTCTACTTCCCACTTAGTTTTTACTTAGTTAATCGGTTTTTTGAGGCTTTGAGGGATGATATGAGGAAACATTAGTCTAGAGGTTAATCAAAGCTAAAAACAGGTACTTCGGGGAACTATCACTCCCCTAGTTTAGGGTCACTATGCAAATCTAGATACTTAAGAATATAGTGAGTGAGCTCTTTTCCATAGGCTTTCGTAGTTATCCACATGCCTCCGAGTACTAGAGACAGCATATGAAACCCGGACCCGCAGGTACCCAACCCGGTCAAAACAGGTAAAATCCGTGTTGACTGGGTTCGGGTCGAGTTTTGGTTTAAACCCGGTGTGTTGTTGGGCGGGTTGGGGCGGGTTTGGGGTACATGCCCCATGGATATCTGCTACACTTAGTAAACCCAACAATTGCCCAATTCCCCCCAACTCCCAGACACCCGCCGCACATGCACGCCTGTACCTTCCATTCCATCCCTCTCCTCTCCGGCTCTCCCTCTCTGAAACCCCGCGCGACTCCGCGCCACCTCCACCCTCCCGTACCGACTCCATTCGCGACGGTCGTCGCCCCGCCCAGAGCCCCAGACCTCCCATCCCGCCGCCCTCCCCCTGCTCGGCTGCTCCGCGCCTCCGCGTCTCGACCTCCATTCCCCACGTCTGAGGAATTATCCTAGGGTACAAGAGGTATTGAGGTTTGAACTTTGATTGATGCTCCTATTTCTCTATTATTGTCTTGTTAGGATGTCAGGAAATGGGTTACTGAAGAATGGTTTTACAGATCTTTGATTTCTGGTATGATGAATATGATTAGCTAGTGTAGGTTTCAGTAATGGTGGAGATCTTTCTAAGGTTTTTTGTTTGTTTGTTTGTTTCGAGAGATTAATTGTTGATTTTGTTGGTGATAATTAGTTCCAAGGCAAACCAGTACCCCAACTCTTCTCCGATCCAGATTGAGGGGGTGAATACCAAGGAAGAGGTTGCTTCAGTTGCACTTTGATGTTTTTCAATACCTAGTTTTCTTCTACCCTGTTGTCTGAAGTCTTTCTTTTTGTTGTTCGTTAGGTTTTGAAGAAGTTTGCTTGTCTCAGAGCATCTGCTGCATACTTGGGTTCTTCGATATAGGTTGAGCTTTGATTTCTCTTGTACTTTTCTCTTTTTGTCATAGACAATTTTGTTTTGTTTGGCATGGTGGATTAAGATTGTACACCATTTCCATCTATTCCAGTATCATTAATCCCTAATCAGACGTTCTTGTTTGAACGCTCTAGTAATCAAATCCCCCTTTGAACTCTGTGTTTCATTATTGAGCGGAGAGTGAAGCTAAGATGACAATGTTCAAGTTCTAAGGAGGAGGAAATTACAATTAATCATGTTGTTTATGGAAAATTTGTGACTTTCTTGAATTTTCTAGATTGGTGTTGAACAATTTGTATGGATAGTGTATAATTTGCTTGAATTTTCAAGAATGGTGTTTTATGTATGTATAGTTTGTATGGTGAGATTTAAGCTTGATTTTTATTTTGATAGTTTCTTGTTAATTGTTATTGTAAATTTTTTACTACAAAAATCCACGGGTACCCATGAACCCGCGGATACCCAGCGGGTTGGGTTAGGTTTAAGTTTTTCAAATCCAGCGGGTTTTACCCCGGGTTTTTTGGCGGATAAACCCATGGGTTTGGGTTTGTAAAAACCCGACCCATTGACATCCCTACCGAGTATGCCTCCCCTAAACCCATGTTCCAGTCACCTTGATCTAGACTATCGTATTTGGGTCCTTAAACTTATGGCTCATTTCAATGGACACTATCCACCATCCACACCGAGATTTCATCCCTAGTTTCATCTAGGAAGGCTACCTAAAGCAGGGGTTCGGTCGCCTCCACCAATATAGGCCCCCATTGACACATCTAACCTAAACTCGCCAGATGGCGCACACCCGTCTAACCCTAGAACTCCGTACCCAGCGCGGTAGCATAAAGTAAGCTAAGAGGGAAGATTCGGGCAAATTACCCAAGCGTCATCATTTAGAAGAGAGTGGCATTAAAATCAACTAGACAAACACATTCATTCATTCAAACCCTAAAATATCCATATATATATACATAGTAAACTGTAAATCTAGGGTTTGGGATTTAGAATCCCTAGTACCTTAGAGGACTACTCCATAAAGGAGGGAAGAAGATACATGATAGAAATAGAAGAAGACTTGGGGTTGAAGATGCCTTCTTGATCCTAGCTCCTCCTTCTTCTGCTTCTCTTCTCCTTTCTTCACCTTCTCTCTCTTCTCTCTCTAAAACCAGAAAGTTTCTCTCAAAATCAGCTCACTTCAAAAGTGGAAAGGGGTCTTGTATTTATAAGAATCTGGACTCGGGAAAGTTCGCGACCTGAGGAAGGGAGATCACGGGCTGGATCTTTGGTCTCTGGCTTGCGATCTCAAAACGCAATCGTCGAGGCCTTTGGAAAGGGGAAGATCGCGAGCTGACTTGGCGGTCATGATCCACTAGTCGAGGCCGCGATCTTCCTCATGGACAGAATGAACATTGGCCATGATGCGACTGGAGAGACTCTCTACTTCTCCAAGGCTCCTTCCACGCGGAGTTCGCACCCTGGCCCTCCAAGATCGCGGTCGCGATCTATGACTTCTGAGCCGCGATCTTCAGCTGGTATTCGCTACTTGTGATCCTGACCGTGATCTTCAGTTCCTGCCCCTTCTCTACACTTGTGACCTTCTTTTGTACCTAATTCGCACATATAGACTAATACACCCTAAAATCACATCAAAATCAAATAGGAACGCAATAGGGATGTATTGGCACAAAACATACCTAGATATGTAGGGTAAATAACACCAAGTTTGGTGTTATCAACTCGAAATGTTGGATAGGACTTTCTTTAACAGCCTGTTTGGGTAGACAAATAATTCAAGAATTGGAATTCCATTTCCAATTTCAATTCCATATTTTATGTTTGGAGTGATAAGAAGGTTGAGAAATGAATTTCATTTAGCCTAAGTTTTGGGAATTACAATTCCTATCAAAAGTGGTAGGAATTGGGTTTATGAAAATGGAATTATTGGGTCCCATTATTATTTATTATTATTTTATTAATCAACTATCACTTTACTCTCTTTCTCTATCATTCATAGTCCACTTCCGTAGATAAAACAAACATATTATATTTTTAATTATAGTTAAAGTGCAATTCATTTCCATAGTTGTAGAAATTATACCAAACACAAAAATTGGAAATGGGATACTATAAAATAGAAAATGAAAATGGAATTTCATCTCCATTTCTTCCGAAATTGTATCCAAACAGACCGTAAATAACATCTCAATCATCTTCATTACAACATTGTTAAAATTGAAAGAAAGAAACCCGCCGCATGCCCGTGTACTGCACACACAGACACCTTTTACTGTACAACGTGACTGAGATGTACTGTTTCAAACTGCGTGTCCTTCGGTGTGGGCTGGAGTTGGGTGAGGCCTCATTGGGATCTGGCGGGGTTTGGGGGCTCGGTCGGGGTGGGACTGGTCGTTGGCTTCTGGTTGGCCTTAGTTGCGGTCGTTTGGTGGCCCGGACGCGCGTTGGTCATCAGAGATCGGTATGTGACTTTGCCCCTGCCCGGCCACGTGGGATGGGGCCTTCAGATGTGCTTAGTAAGTCTTGCGTGATATCATTGTGTCTGTTAGGGATTCCGGCTGTTGTTCGCAGGACTGTGTTGGAGAAACTTGGCGGCTGATTGGCTGGGGTTGGAGGTGCTTTGGGAATGGTGGACAACTGATTGATACCGGTTATTCACCTGAGGGATGGGGCCTTCAGATGTCCTCAGTGAGTCTTGCATGATATGATTGTGTCTGTTAGGGATTGCTAGAGGGTCGTGTTGGGTTGTTGTTCGCAGGACTATGTTGGAGAAACTTGGCAGCTGATTGGCTGGGATTGGAGGTGCTTTGGGAATGGTGGGCGGCTGATTGATACCGGTTATTCACCTGATGGCGGGAGGGTGTCAAAAAGTTTACTGTTTCAAGCACTGTGGCCGTCATTCAGTGCCTCGATGCGTGCGCTCAGGTGGAGAAGGCCATTTCTCATTCTTTTTGCACAAGAGGACTCATTCTCGGAACGCATTTCCCTCTTTTTTCCTGCCCTCTTTGTTCTCTGTGGTTCAGTCGTTGTTTTCTCGCCTTTTTCCTCACCATGGATGCTACTCTGCTCTGCAATCTCAAAGGAGGTACCAGAGAGGTGACTCTGAGGCTTCGTCTGCTCCATATGTGGTATGCCAAGAATCCTTCTGGGACAAGGGTGTTTAATCACTGTTGCCTCTGGGTGGATCAGACGGTAGATTCTCTTACGCTGATTCTTTGTGATTTCAGTGCTTTCTGTTTTTTTGCTCTTTTTTTTCCTTCTTTGCTCTTTCTTTACTGTCTTTATTTGTTTTTAATTCAGGGTATGCTCATTCAGAACCTTGCTGATGTCTCTATTGGGTCTGAATTTGAGCGTGTGCTGCGCGTGGGAGTTATCTACGTTCTAAGGTCTTTTGGTCTCAATGCCGCAAGGAATCTCTATCGTGCATGCTCATTTGATCTGATAATAGAGTTGTCAGCAACAACTATTTTCCAGGCCTGTTCTCTACCTGCAGCTGAATTTCCAACTGATTCCTTTGAGGTTGTTCCTTATAGTGAGCTGTCTAACCGTTCAGGGGACAATCGTATCCTTGCAGGTGATTGTTGCGTTTTCTTGACTGAAGTGGATTGGGTTTTATGTCTTCTTACTGCTCTTTTTTTTTCGGTCAGATGTTGTCGGCCGTCTTCATTCTATTAGCGGGATTGATCATCAGGTTACTAATCACGGCTCGACTCCAAAACAAGTTCTGGTCCTTGAGAATGCACAGTAGGTCTTTCTGTTATTTTATTTTTCCACTGGGGAATACTGTTTCGTCACCTTCACGTAAGATATGATCCTTTGTTTTGCTGTCAGGGGCCAGAGAGTGTCGATCACGCTTTGGAATGAACTGACGGCAGTCCTTGATCGACCTGGTTTGATTCAGGCGGACTCCATTGAGCCAGTGATCGTTGGAGTTGGGGGGCTCATGGTTGGTCGTTTGATAGGTGTGTATTTTAACTCTTTTCCATTCTGCTTGATCATAAATTGTGAACTGATTTTGTTTTTGTTGTGCAGCTGGTGAATATTCCTGTTCGAGCTCCTCTGGAACCCGTATAGTTGTTAGCCCGAGGATACCAGAAGCTTATAGCCTCGCTGCTTTGTGGGTTCTTTGTTGCTAAACTATGATTTTTTTGTTCTAGATTTGTTTTGTGGTGTTTGATTTGCTTTACTTTTTTTGTGTCCATCTATGCAGTTTTGGTGGATCCAGAGTTCCTGTTGCTGATTTGCCAGTCAAGTTTGCGACCCCAGGGGACGCTGTTGCTGATGCTGAGCGGAGAACCAGGACCATAGTTGAGCTTCTTGATTTGCACCATGGCGGTGCTTCTGTCGTGAGTTGCATTCCCATGTAGTTCTTGATTTAAGAATGGTCTTCGGGTTGTCCATTTATTTATGTTTTTTTATTTCTTTTTGGGATTGTCAATGTTTATATTCAGGATGAAAAGCATCGTTGCGGTGGTATAGTCCGATCGGTTGAGTCCCGGAGCCCGTGGTATTACATGTCATGCAGCATGTGCAGGAAAAAGTGTTCTGCGTGGCGAAATGGTAACTACTGGTGTCCTGACCATTGGGAGATCACTAAGCAGCAAGTGACAGTTGGGTGTGTGTTTTGTATGATCATTAGTTGTTGTTTTTGTTTATTTCATTGTGTGCCTGTGAGGACTTAAAGAATTTGCCTAATTTTTTGAGTTTGCACTCCTATGCCTTTCCTGATGGAATTGTCTCTGTTTTTTACTGTGTCGTCTCTAGCTACAAGATCCAATTGACCCTGCGTGATGCCACTGACGAGGCCCCTTTCATTATTTTCGGCCCGTGTGGGAACAATTTGGTGCTCACATCTGCCCAACTGCTGGCCCAGAGATATCCTCACAGGTCTGGCCAGTTACCGCCTGAACTTGAGGCTTTGCTCGGCCAGTTTGTCAGGTTTGAGGTCAAGCTTCCGATGGTTGGGTCAAGTGGAGTATCTACGGGTGAATTCCGTGTTTTCCGAGTTATGCCCCGTGATGTTCAGGGCCCAGTGCTTGGTCTTACAGGAGTTCCAGATGTCACAGGCAGTGTTTCTTCGTCCCAAACCTTAAGTCAGTCCTATTCTGGTCAGGAAGGAATGTTGATGCTGCCTGCTCCAGGTGTACCTTTCGCAGCTTCAGCTTCTGCTGTCATACCATCTAGGTGAGCGTTGTTTGCTCTATTGTTATGTTTGTGTTAGTTAATTACGGGGGTTTAGGTATGGGTTTGGGTTAGTCTAATTATTAATCTTTGCTGTTACAAATCTAGCTCATCCAAGGGAAAGGAAAAGGTTGTTGACTCACTGTCGCCTGGAGGGACGAATCCAACATTCCAGATTGGCCAGGTTGCAGGGTTGCCTCTCAGGTAACACCAAGGTTCTAAAAGGCGCTAGGCATAAGGCAGGCGCTCGGCTCCTGACTTGCGCCTTGCCTGATTTGGCGTAGCCTAGGCGCGCCTAGGCGTTCAGAGCATAAATGAAAAAAGTTCTCAAATATTTCCTGTTTTCTGGAATAATTCATATAATCCAAGTGTATATAAAATTAGCAATGCCTAGTTCTTAACAGTAAACACTTAACATAACAAATAACAAGCAATGTTCATTCTTCATCATCCAAGTAGGTCCGTTTAGCCACCACTTCATCTTCATCATCCTCCAAAGCAATCTCCTCACCATCCTCCTCCTCTTCCTCCTCTTCAGACTCATTCTTCATCATGGAGCTCTCTCACTCGTGCACTCCTACGAAGCTCACTCTGTTCACCCGCCATTGCATCTGTAACAGTACTCGAGGGTGCACAATATGATTCCTCATCCTCATCTACGAATACATACATAACATGGTCATCCCCTTCCCGTGTTTCTGATTTTCTAGGGCAAGAGGCAATTTTATGATTTTCTAGGACAAAACGAAGAGTATTGGGTTTAACCGCCTAAGCTCGCCCAGGAACACCTTCTCTCCACTAGGCGCAAACTAAGCGCTATTCCTACCTACTAAGCGCTACCAGCGCATTTTACAACGCCTATGGCCAAGTCAAGGCGATCCTCCACCGCCTAGCGCCTAATTGAGCCTAGGCGTGCGCCTAGACACGCCTTCTTGAACCCTGGGTAACACATTTGGACTGTTTTACTTGATTTGGTATTGATGCATTAACCTG